ATGGTTGGCAGTAGTTTTATAAATCACCGTGTTGGTTCATCAGGGAAGATTTACTTCTAATCTGTCTGCTCGGAGATGATACAGTGCAAATGTAATAAATGGGGAAAAAATAGAAGACAAATGGCCAACCCTGTTTGACTTATATGAATGCAAGCGCAAGCTGGCCTAGCTGAGAGCTACTGAGCGGGCGGGATCTGGCGGGGTCCATTACTTTGATAGCCGTCGGCAATGGCGATCCCATCAGTTCGGGTATTTTTTGATGGGATTGAGTTTTACCGCCGCCTTCCCGCAGCTTCCCGCTCACTGTTTTCTATGCGAACACCGTTGTTAGGTTATAATTGTGGCTGGGTACTAATGTTCATTCCGGTGTTCAAACTTTTGCTTCTTTAGTCGTCTGGGTTCTACAGCGTGACGGGAAACTGGGTGCGTGAGCTCGGCTTGGATGGCTTCTAGAGGCGAGGGACAATGGTGTAAATATAAAGCCTGTATTATACCGGGATACTTCCTCAAACCAGCGTTCCTAAGCGGGACCGTGCTGTGTAATACTACTATATATAAATCAAAACCAGATTAGTCTATTTCTTTATCATTCGAAGTTTAAAATCTTTGCCTGTTTGCCTTCAGCTGCACAAAAAAAAAAGAAACCGACAGTTATTTATCAGGAAACTACCGCCAACCATGAACTCATTCAAGTTCGGCTGCTGTAGTGTGAATTCTCGCTGTTCTGGAATTGGCCGCTCCTACTTATTATTGAGCCCCCTGTTTATCAATCTTCAAATTATGTCTCTTCGTGGGGCACTATAAAAGCAGGTTCTAGGTTACAGTATACTACATTTAGCTAGATGGCAGTGTAAAAAATAATCTTGTGCCTTCTTACCTCGTTGACTAACATAGTTCCATGTGCCTCGTTATACAGGTAAATTACACATGTGCAGCGATACCGACAAAGTTGAACTACTAGTGATGCGCTTGATGGTGTTTACTCGGAACATTCTGTTGTACCACAAATGGCCACATCACCGAAAATTGATAGGCCACTCTGGACTCTGTGAGCAGTGAGGAGGGGCATGCTGATGAGACAAACTGTTTTAACATTTCAGTTAAAGACAAGTTGAAGATCTAGTCTGTTTTGATGTTGACTTGTGCATTTCTGCAGTTCTAGTATTAGTATTCTTCCGTTGTTCTGCAGAAAATGCACTAACTCAAGAAGTCTGCAGACCGATGTGGTGTAGCGGTAAAAAAAAAAAGGACTCCAGACTTGAGGAGGAAAAAGGATATTCCGGTACGGGGAGTCGAACCCCGAGCTAGTGCGAGCGCATTACTAGAGACCATGAAAAGCACCAATGTTGACCGTTACACCATACCGGACACTCCTATATCACAATCGATTTATGAGGACATAGGTTCTACCATGAGTAGGACCTCGACATCTTGCGGGACTCTCGCTTTCGCGTATCAAGTCTCACAGAAGTTCAGGAAAAATAAGAGTACTGGTTGTTGTTCGTTTGGATTACAGTACAGGTACAATCAGGGCGGCAGGGTACATAGTGGCGGACGAGAAACAAAACCAGTCAAAGCATCACATTCTCTACTCTGCATCCTTCTTCTCGGGCTTCATCGGTCCTGCTTCTCTGAGCGATGATAACTGAACGTGGCGGAAGTCTGGGATTAGTCGAGGTGGGTTGCGTATGCGAGGCAGGGATTCGGGCCAAAGCTGGACGCGTCGGAGACGGGTTGCGGTATGAGTTTGAGGAACCAGCAGTATTGCTGAACATGGGGCTGAACGATGCCGAGGTGTGGGACGATGATGAACGCGTCGGAGACGGGTTGCGGTATGAGTTTGAGGAAGCCAAGGTGCCAGCAGTATTGCTGAAGATGGGGCTGAACGATGCCGAGGTATGGGACGATGATGCACGCGTCGGAGACGGATTTCGATGGGTTGAGAAGGAGGAGGCGCCAGCGGTATTGTTGAATGCGGTGCTGGAAGATGCCGAGGTATGAGACGGGATGCCAAAAGATTGAGTAAGTTTATGGGCGGCAGGGCGAAGGGCGCTGGTAGACAGGGGGCCTCCTTGGGCAGAATCTACGAAGCCAGATGGATATATGCGCAAAGGGTGAAGGTGGATACGCACTTTCTTTCTGCTCCAGGCGTTTCAACTCAACCTGAAGCATCGTAGAATGAGATATCGCTCCTTGCAGACGAACTGCTCTCTCTGTACGTTCCGCGTTGTTAGGCAAAGACTGAAAACATGCATAGGCACACACCAGTCCTTTCATCTTCCGCGGCGCGCTTGGCCTGTAGGACAGCAAATCGTGCCTCTTCCAGCTGGGTTTGGTAGCCAAGGTTCTGCGCCTGTCTCTCTGCAGTTTCGGAATCCAAGCGAGCACAAGTCAATTTGGCGCGCTGAATTTGTTGCGCAAGCAAGGCCATGTCGGGTAGGCTGGCAGCAGCAGCGGGTTTCGTTACTAGCAGTTTCTTTTTTGGAGCGTCTTGTTGGCGCGCGTCCTCAGGCGCCTTTCGCTTTCTGTTGGGTTTCGCAGTCACAGTTGGGTTGTCCTCGATCGGGGATGCTGCTTCAGGAGAGGGATCCATCACGATGTCGTTGTCGGCGCATAGCAGAGGGTCGATATTGGAATCGGGATTCATGATGGTCGGCTTGAGCTCGCACGCCGTCACGTGTGACTATTGTCTCTCTTCGACTGTCGTCAATATTCAATCTCTCATTGCCGCTCGAGACAACATGGACGCCACGCCTGGTCCATCAACCAGGTGTGTCTGGACTTGCATTGCCCCAAAGTTGCTACAGTAATTGGCAGAAACACCCAAAGCAAAGCTACGCAAACGAAAAAAGGGCGCGCCGGGCCCCAGTCGGCGCCGAAAAAGGCTGGACGCGCCGATTCCATTGCAGAACCCAGACCTAAGGAGGCGAAGAAGATGACTGTCCCGCAGGCCCGCGCCCTCATGATCGGTTTCGACACGCTCGTTTACGAGCGTGAGTCCGCCAAGATTGCCAACAGCCGGCATGCGGCCGCGACGGCCGAGAAAGAACAAGCCCGCCTCCTTGAGGAGCTGCGACTGGAGACAGAGAAACTAGCTACGGTACTACTTCGGGGCGCATCCGAAGCCAAGAAGGATGGTCAGTTCTTTATAAAAGTATATCTGTTTTTTTTTTTGACTTGAGGGCGTGCAGAGGGGTTACTCAAGTCGCAGGCGGTCGAGAACGAGAAGCTGCAGGCCAAGCTGGAGATGCGCCGGCAGTTTATCAAGCTCCAAACTCAAGGTGGGCATCTCTGACGGCTGATTTTTGGATATGCATTAACTTTGACGGCCAGTGCCAGCTGCAAAGTCACACGCAGGGTTTGCCGGGTATGCGACGTTCGGTGCCTCATCCTCTTCATTTGGGAGCTTGCTCGGCCAGCGCCAGCCGTAAACAGAATAATAACTTGCGTACTCGTCCATATTGTATTTGTATTCGGGCAATGTCACAACTTGTCTAAGCCGAGCGCGTCCCACTGTGCGGTCCCCGGGCTCTTTGCGCCCTTCTTCAAGACGGGCAGCTCATCCACGTCTTTGAGGTAGTCCTTGAGGACGCCAACGATGACCGCCGTGTCGTCTGGGTCTGCAAGACTGAGTTCCGCGGACTAAGGGAAGATATATCAGATAGGACACCAAATCATCGAAAGACATGCTCACCGCTGCTATCAAGTCCTCAAGTTGCGCCTTGGGTCCCTTTCCTGGCGCCGGCTGGTGCCCATTCCCGCCCCCCTCGTCCTCGCCATCCGATTCCGCGATGCGATTCGTACCGTGTGTCAGGTGAGAACGGTGTTTTCGAGAATCCTTGTACGCCTCTACCTCGTGCCGGGGCCCATTTTCTTTATGGGCTTTGACCATTTGGAGGAAAGTGGGGGCGTGTATGCATTGGGCAAGGGCATGCTCGCGAACGGCATTTACAGACTCGCCGCTAGTGCGCCAATCAGTCGCGCAGCCATAAAAGAAAGTGAAGCCTTGCCTGAAATCCCCTGCAGGGCATTTGTACGATACGTTTCCAGGACCGACGTCGACGATTTGAAGTTCCAAGTCCGCCCATTCAGAATGCATAGAAAGTCTGAAAGTCATGCGGCGTCAGCAGAACTCTACACAAACGGACTCGGAGACTCACAAATGGCGTTCTAGTTGCGAGATCGCGTCAAATGTTGCCGACGGGACGGGGTTCTGGTGCAGGTACAGAGAACAGCGCGGACACTTGTATCCTGCTTTCGCGCCTGCCGCAATCTCCGCTGCTGTGGCCTGTTGCCCATGAGTACGATGCAATGCAGAAGAGAATGGAATTACACGGTACGCCTCGAATCGTTCCCGCCTGAAAATCGGTTCCAAGTAATATTCAAGGAGTGCACGACGCGCTTCAGCAACAGGAATCTGGAGTATATCGCGTTCGGCCGACTCGTTCAGGTCGGGCGGCGCATCAGGGACGTCTTCGTCCTCGGCGGTGGCAGGCTGGTTTTCATGGGCCCGGCGCTGGGCTGCCACGCTAGCCATTTCTGGGGTCGGCGTGCTCAGCGACATGTTATCGAGGAACGAGATCAACTTGTCGTGCTCGTTTTGAGAGTCTGCGTCCGGGGTTTCGCCTGCTTCGATGGTCGCCAACGCTGTCTGTGCATTTTGGATATTGTCAGCCCACGAACGTATGCTGGTCAGATCGTTCGTGTCGGCCGGTGCTGCGGCCAAAGCTGCAAACGATCTAGTTCAGTGAAAGGCTGTTCCGTTTGACAGGGTAACAAACCGAGAGCCTGCCGGAGGTGCTTTCCGGGATCGGGTGCTGCCAACGCAGCCATAACAGCTTGACGCTCATCCGTATTGCCGGCGAGCGCTCCGGTCTTGATCTCCTTCGTCCTCTCTTGCTTTTTAGCGCTATCATAAAGGCGCATCTGATGTGTCTGTTCCTTGAGAAACGCGCTTTGCGCAGCGAGAAAATGGTCGCGGGCCTAAAGTACGCATTAGTTGTGTGCGAGTGGAAAGTAAGAGAATGATTACGGGGATCGTCGTGTCCTTGTTCCAGGGATGACTGAACGCCACGGGCTTTTTTTCGGAGGCTGGGCCGTCGATGATGCCGGAGGCAATATTGTAGATTCGGTTACACCCCTCAGTGCCCATTTTATAGCACGCCGCGCTCGCGTTGAAGCAACCTAGATACGCTGCCCAGGCTCCATTCCTCGCTGCAGATAGAGGCTGCAGCGGGTCTGAATTCTGAGAGCGGTGTGTGAGATATTGATGCAGCAAGGATAGGCTGCTTACGACCAGGTTCTTCTTGAAGGATTCCCTCGCATACTTGGCGGCTTGTTCGGAATCAGGGGCCTCCCTCGCCTGGCGAACCAAACATTCGACTGCGGGGCTACGGAAGCCGTGTCGACGATAATTTTCCTAAAGAGGATGTAAGCAGATCGTTCGTGATGGATAGATGATCAAGTACCGCAATCTTCTCGCCCGGGGCGCTCTCCTTGGTTCCTGCAACCTCTCCAAGACGGAGCGGCACAAAGTCGAAGTTTTGGGTGTCGCGCGAATATGAGTCCCGAAAAGGACCGTCGGTCTGGTGGTGGAGCGCGTCCTTTGCCACACGCGTGCCCATTTGAAGGGAAAACTATAAGCAGAGCTCGGAATAGTACGTAGAGTGGAATCGATTATGCGCACCATGTTCCCCGTGTCACAACGCAAGGCTCTAAATCCGACCTTGGGAAGGCCGGCCTTTTGACACCACTCTCCGAAAGCCTCGTAGGCGGATTCCGCCATCGCCGCCGTCTCCGGGGAGGCAAAGTCCCGACCACCCTCGTTGCCGGCGAGAAAACTGTCATGTCGCCTCGGTAAAGGTAGTGGAAAAGGCAGCAAGACGTACATGGGGGTATCCTTGAATACGGGATCGATTTTGAGCTCTGCGGAGTCGTCCTCCACAAGCTCTTGGATAGTCTGAGTCAAGAGTAAGTTGGGTGCAAAAGAAATGACATTGAGAACAAACTGGCCTTGTACTTCTTTTCAAAGCGTCGCAAGTGGAAGAGGTGAGCGAGGAGGGGGACAGTGAGGTCGAACGCGACGTTGTGGGCGAAGAGACACCCAGTGATTAGGAAGGTCTGCTCATCACCAACCGCAGTCCCAATAGCATTCTGGCAAGGAGATGAGAGATGAGAGGGATGGATATCAGACTGATAACTATACCTTGCTGTACCGCATCCGAAACGGAAACTGGTAGTCCATATAGCCGAGTCTTAGACATCGAATGTCGCTGAGAACTGGTACCTGGTGAATCACGGTTAGAGAATGGAGATTAGATGAATGATGAACACTTGCATAATTAAGGTCTCGCCATTTCTTATCCGTC